GATAACGTTATGTATGTTCAGAGAATCTTTTGATTGAATCAGAATGATTTCATTTTACGAAGTACGATTTATCCCTCATTAAGACAAGATATTTGTATCTATGTTTTTTTAAAGAAACAAAGCAGGACAAATTCTTTCAATTTATCTCTTAGTTTGGAATGGGGAATACTTATGTAAAGGATAGAAAAGTCAAATGTTTAAATACTATTGCAACATAAAATAGACTTAGATTGTATGGTACTCTAACATATCTTTGGATTTTTTAGTATCTGATTCACGCTACATCTAGAGCAGGTACATTAGTTTCACAATAACTTTGTAGCCCGGCTTTGATACCTGATAACATTGAAGTTAATAATTTAGAAAGTGGTTTCGTGGAGCACTTGGAAGACCCAGCATTTTAACGGTGTTTGTAAGGACACTTATGCAATTTAGGTATATCCTATTCAGAGAAGGAAGATCCAGTTCTTCATCTTTGATTGAAGTTCAAAAGGAACATACAACATACCTATGATTATTTGGGATTTCCTCCTTGGTACTTGCCGTGAGGGTATATGTTGAGTTTCCAAGTGAATTGTCAATACCTTATTCCTTTATCTAAAAGTTAATATAATTTACATACGAAAACGATGTTGTTTATTGCTTTATCTGCGGGGACATCAACATATTTGTAATGAACTTAGGACATGTCCTTAGCAACATTAAGGTCTGTAAAGATCGATGTAGTATGTGTATTCATAGACCCATTCTGTTTCTAATTCTAATTATAGAGGTTGGCTTCGTGTCATCTGATGTATTTCTTTTCGAAATCTTTCTGTATCCTTTTATCAGGAAAAACTCTTTGATTATATAGCCACCCATGTTAAGATCATCTTTTTGTGTACGTTTTATGAGATTCACGACGCAAATACAATTTCATTTCATTTTTATTTTTTTCAGTTGAGAGATTTTTCGATACTTGTCAAGTACAACATTAAATTTTCTTGTTTTTTTCAATTTGCACTTAGACAAAATCAGAACTTTTCGCTCCGTTTTGCAGGGAAGACTGTAAATCAAGCAGTGATTGCAGTTAAACCTTATCCTAAGGAATTCGGTAGTAACTCTGAATTAGCACTTGTTGACACTGAGGGCTAAACAAGTCTGAAACTGACTAAATATAGAATTGAATGCAGGCCAAGCAATTGGTTAATTTGATAAATGTTGAATGTTGAAATCGAATGTTAAAATAAAAAAAGCCGATTGTTTAAAATTAAATGTTAAATGTTGAAAGATGAATTGAATGTTGGAAAAAAAATCTTTTTTTTTTTGAATTTTGAATGTTGAAATCGAATGTTGAAAATATGAACACTGAAAAAGTAAATAAAAAAGAATTGAAAGGGAAAAAAAAATATGAATGTTCAATGTTCAAAAATGTTTAATATTAACCCAACTTGACATCCGTGTTTATCGTAAAGATGTAAACGATAAAACACATTTCAAATGAGAAGAGTGATGCACCACATAGCCTTTACTATCACTCTCTCACCAATTCGTAGACTGGTTTTTCTATAATGACCAAAAGGAGGTTCTTTTGTCTATGGTCTTCATATTGGGTCTAATTGTTTTCACTCAAGGTTATGTATAGAAATCTGGTTATCGATACAGGTGAGTTCTAGTTTGCTGAAACTGTAGGACCCATTAAATTCATATGCCTGTTTTAAGAGAAAGAGGGAAAGATTTCGAGCCATTTCAGTTGCTAAATGGCAAAAAGCAAATAATTTAAAGTACTTTTTGTATTAAATATACACCATTAACCTTAATTTATAGTTATAGCAATACACTTTTTATCATGAAACGAAAGCACTTTTTATCATGGAACGAAAGCACTTTTTATCATGGTACGAAAGCACTTTTGCAACACCATATTGAACAGCATATTATATGGAGGACTGCGTATACGAACAATTGGAGTCAACAAGTGAGGCGGGGCCGTTCCTGAAGGATTTTGACAACACCCTATTTGCTTTTTGCAGTTATTATCGTTTATTGAACGGCAAATCGTTCTGTGAGCTAGATATATATGGGACGATTGGAAACGCGTTGTCCGAAAATATAAATTCAATTTGAAAATAGTTCTAGTACAAGTCAGGGATTAGATGTGTTTACAGTTGATATGCGTTGTAAGAGGATATTGAACTAATTGATCAATAGCGATGATTACATACGCATTTTTAAAAGTACCCAAAAGGAACGTACAACTACGAAGGAAGAACCTTGTTGGAAAAGCCATATACGCCTACAAGTAAATTATAAAGGATGAAATTCCTATTCTTTGGAAGGATTTTGTAATAATTTTATATATAGAATTACAGATTTATATAAATTTATATTGTACACGCAGACAAATTATTTTATCAAAACTTCATAGATTTCTTGTGCTGTGTCGTTTTGAAATCTTAACATAATTCATGTAATAATTTAATGAAGTTCAAACAGACAATCGTTTGAATCGGAATTGCAAAGCTTCATTTTGCAGACAAAACAACGACCAGTGTAATCTATTTTGAAAAGCCCACTTTTGCAAGCTATCTTTAATAATTGTGTCTAGGAATGTATATTTTGTTTTGCTTTCATAAACGGCAAAAATGCGATGCATACTGTAGAAGTTGATAATTAAATATCATCGGTGTTCCCACTGTTTGTATCTCTCTGCTCAGCACTTCGTAAAATTGCATATGACGTCAGATACGTTAAACTGACCTAAATAACTTTGAACCGGACATATCACCGTCGTCAACTCATAATGAATAAACTGACGTTGATAAGTCTGACCCGAACTTATCAAGTCATCTTCCGGTTTGCTGGTGAAACAAAGAAAAACACTTGTTTCTATCATGCAAAATACACAAAAACACTCCGACAATCTGATAAATCAATTATCAGATTTTCGTCATATTTATATTGTAAAATATCAGCTGCTCGACACAATATGAACGCTACGCTCTCTCGACAAAAAGCCTCATTTTGTGACTCGATCGCTACTGATATTTTACAATATCAATATGCAGACAACCTGATAATCGGTACGACTAGGCGTTTGTCAATGTATGTGTTTTCATCAAAGGTAAATGTCACTTTTATGTTAACTTACACATAAAGCCGAACTACATTTTAATGGCATACGATAAAGTAGAAGGGTTTAAATACATCCAAAAAGACACATCAAAATTTAGCGTGTTTTTTTTTATATATAAATAGACTGACGTCATCGGACATACTGTTATAGAGAATGTGGAATTTGTGGAACGCATATATGTCTCATGTGGCAAATATCAATTATATGCTGTAGATTTCTAATTGTATGATTTAGTTCTATTATTATATGATGTGGATTTTTAATTATGTGATGTGGGTATTTAATTATATGATGTGGGTTTTTAATCATATGATGTGGGTATTTAATTATATGATGTGGGTATTTAATTATATGACGAAGTTCTGTTATTATATACAGTGGTTCTATATTATATGATGTGGATGTTTGATGATTAGTTGTAATTTCCTTGTCATATTGTATTTAATAATATAATGTGGTACTACTATTATATTATATGGGTATTTAATCATATGCAGTGGTTTGGGATAGGTAAAGGATTCATCTATTTGAATTGATTGTTAATTGTTTGCTAGTGGTAAAAATTCCAATTACATTCTTAGACGAGAATGAAATAACTCTAAATCAAAGCGGTAAATCGACTGTGATGAAGTAAGAAGGCCAAAAATTTGACTGTTGCTTGAAGATGATGATATCTTGGATATCTTGGATAGGGGTAGAATTGTTGTCTTAATCTACTAACGGACCTCTACGTTGCATTGGTGTTTTAACGACCAGGAAGTGTGGCACTATCCCATCACGAGGCATCTTATTATAATCTCCGATTCAGACCGGAAGTGTTTTCATTTTTATATGTCCCGTAGAGACAAAGGACACCCTTTGCGGATAACTATTACCCTTAAGACAAAGAAATAGGACCAATTTATTCCAGTTTACTCTTAGGGGTCGAACTGTGATAATGGAAAAAAGGATAGAACATACTATTTGGGAAATCAAAACCTCTTTTTCGAAGATTAACAGGGAAATACGTACCATGGTCAAAAGAAAAACGACGAAAGGACAATCTGGGTGGGGGGATGCAGGTGCACGTGAAGGGGAGTTTCTATTTCACTCGCCGTACTCGTCATGTTGTTCATGATAAGTCAACAATAGCATGATGGCGTCCGTATAACTCTCAAAGGGATGACTATAATTTTACCGTTATAAAACCTAGGTTTGATATGAGATGGAGAAGATAATTGGTTCCTTCTCAGTAGCAACCCTTTATCAAAGAAATCATGATAGGGAACAGTTTAAAAAGAGCATGGGCACGTCGTGTAATATGCACATAACACACGGATACAGCATTTCAGTGCAGAACATATACGGAACATTTTAGGCTTGCTTCAACTAATAAGCGAATTGACGTTCATAAAACAATTGACACAATGATTGAACAAAACAGTATAAATAAAACCTTCATCAATAAGTAATCAAGGAAAAAGAAGTCTCCAAAAGGAGACTATAACCTTGAGAGCTTCATAGATAATATTACCACCAGAAGCTGGGAGTGATTTCACCATTTTGTCATTCCTTCCGAGTTCTTTATCTGAAATAATTCAGCACAAGTCACTTAACACGGTAAAGCAGGGAAATACGAATTGGCATGTCTCCTTCAACAACTCTGTTTTAGTAAAAATAAGATTTTTAGATCTTCAGCACCATCTGGTCCAACAGGTTTTTTTAACTGTCATAATCGGTACAATTTAAAAGGGAAAACCTCACTATACCATTAATTAGAATACAGTTCAGATTAAGTGATAAATGACAATGACAATATACTTTATATTTGTAATAAAATTGTTACAAAAAGTAAGGAAAATAATTAAGTTGTACTCTTTTTTTTAACGTTCATTACATTTTGATGATAATGGATATATGAGTGATACAAATGTACATGTTTATTACGTCTGCAGCTGTAAGTTAGCGAGACTTCAATTCTCAGTCGAGGCTCCTCTTTCCAAGATAAGCTGAAATAAAAACATGAAAATCTTAGAAATGCAAAAATGAATTAAAGACATGGGGTATACGCCAATAAAAGAACAGCTCAAACACAAAATATAACAAACAAAACAAAGCTAGGGTTCGTCAAACAGTCTTTTTCTATATTAAAGGTGAGGGGGGGGGGGGGGGTAAGAAAATTTCAATAAAAAGAACAACACACCAACGAGACATATCAAAACAATGTTTCAATTGTGTGGGCTAACAACGAACTCAAAATCCTAATTTTTTCCCGATATCAATTCCCATTAAGACCGAAGGAATATCATATGTTCCGTTAGAATAGTTAGTATATCATATTTCTTTTAAAATATCTGACGAACTGCCTAGTGGTGAAGTCATGTAATGATTCAAAGCAAGTACAGGAAATTTGTTAAAAGAAATAATCGGAAAATGTATGCGATCAACCTGATAAAAATTGTTCAAATTTTGAAGGCGACAGTCATGGTATTAGATTGAATGTTATTGTGTACTATTGATGGAGTCAAAATGGTGAACACAAGCTCTTGAGAAGAGAATAAGTCGTGATGTGTATACCGTAAGCAAGAGAGGTTGGTTTATTTCGACGAAAAAGAAGGAAATTCTCTATTTTAATAAACAAAATCATTTCCATAATGTTTAGTGCTAGACTTTCTTTTGTGTCTATTCATAGGTGTGTCTAGGTATGAAAAAAATCAGCAGATACCAGGCTTATCATTTGTTACGCCCGACACAGGTTTGTTTACATAAAACTCAACATTGGTGTTTAAATCAAAATTATTTAAAAAAATCTTTGTTAAAGAGCATTGAAAATAAAACAAACGACAAATTGTGTCAAATGGGGCTCAGACCATCGGTGACACAAATCCTGCAGTTTTAGTATTGTCATTCATATCAAAAAGTAAAATAACAAAAATACCGAACTCCAAGGAAACTCAAAACGGATAGTCCCTTATCAAATGGCAAACTCAAAAGCTCAAACATCAAACGAACGGAAAACCACTGTCATATTCCTGACTTGGTACAGACATTTTCTTATGTAGAAAATGGTGAATTAAACCTGGTTTTATAGCTAGCCAAACCTCTCACTTGTATGACAGTCATATAGAATTCCATTATATTGACATCAATGTGTGAACTCATTGAGATTGATGAGATATATATATAAAGTTTAAGGGGCAGTGCAACTTCCCCTGAACTTATTTCATAACGGGGACTCACTTGACGTCCTTCATTTCTCGACTGAAATTAAAATTAGCATACATTCATATGTGTATTTTAAGGTTTTAGACCATATTGGCTTATTTATGAACGTGTACTCATCGTTTTTTAGTCTGGTAAATAGATGTCTCACTGGCAACCATACCACATCTCTTTATTTTGATTTAAATGAGCAATTATAAATGCCTAAAATGGCTCCAAACTGCAATGTTGAGAGATTTCGACAAAATTTGCAGTAATTATCCAAAACAAGAACGTTCATAAAAAAAACTAAAATTCTATTGGAAATAACTATATAATTTGTCTCTCAAATACAAACTAATTGATTTTGATTCAGGACGTTCTTCCGTGCAGCATTTAACCAAATAATGTAAAAACTCACCAAAGATACCAGACTTATATATAGTTTGGTTCACAAGAAGCCAAATAAAATACAAAGTCTAAGAGCTTAGATAACCGAAAATTCCGAAAAGTTGTGCAAAATATGGGAAAGTAAATCTATAACTAGCGATATAAAATTCTTTGTGTTTTAAATATTCCCACATTTTACATTCATTTGGCTGGTTATACTGTCCTATACTGAGGACAAAACGTTCACGAGCAGTGGCATCGATACCAGTGTAACATTTGCAATTCTGTCCTCAAAAGCACTGCTAAGATTTTGACTTTACGGAAACAAGTTAAAATGTTGAAAAATATTTAAGGTATATCATATTGACTCTTTTAACATTCTAATTCCAGAAGGTTTAAGCAACTTTTTAATTTTGTCCGTATGAGTGAAACATATTCAGTGGGAATTGACAAATCTCGAAATTTTGGTTTTTTGTCTTTTTATTGAAAGTTCATTGCACCGCCTTTCTGAATATTTAACAAAGAAGATGTGTACCGTATCTTTTTCTTCCTTTAAAGAATTTGAAATTTTTTATGATGTTATCTTGCTATATATATATGTTTCCCATATATGAGCCTGTTTGTTTATTAATGAATCATTTCAATTTTTCTATGTAGACATCGGTTGATAGTTATAGGATAACTTGTCTTTTAATATTGATAAAAGCAAAAGACAACTTTAAATGCAGAAGTGTAATGTGTACGTTATCTGCATACAACATATAGACGCTTAGATGCTTAATGTACTCACCCTCTTTACAAAATTCTGGATTTTCATCGGATTTATCATTACACGCCGGTACGCCATCACAAAGGTTAAACCATGAGACACACTGAATTTTGTTTTTGCATTTTATTCTCATACTGGAACATCTATAATCTGACAAAATGCATTTCAAGATAATATTAGATATTTTACGAGGATGCTACTGAGGAAATCCGAAATCGTGCTATCCAAACAATTTCTTATGTATCTATCTATGTAATCAAAACAGGTTTACAATCTCCTTTGTTATGCAAGTCGAGATTACCAAAAATATGATTATGCCAATATGAGTGTTTTTGCTAGATGCTTGATTGCATTGATCTTATGATTAACAAAGAGAATAATCATTTAAAAGATAATGGAATTTACCAAACGCGGGTGAACGCCAATACGGACGTGTTTTGCAATTTGCATATTGCATTATTCATCGATTGAGCATCAGTAATAAACAGAAGCTTGTAGGAAAAAGTTAAACTCTCATATTTGATATCTACAAAAGAGGCGGAATATTCAAAGGGAGACTACAAAACACATCAGTCGAAGAGACACCGACAAAACCACGTCACGACAAATAAAAACGACGAAAAGACAAACAACAGTCTACAAATCACTACATAAAAACTAAACACTGAGCAACAAGAACCTCATCAAAAACGAAATGATCTCCGGTGCTGCGGACTGTTGATATTCATTGATTGAATAACAAAGCCATCATAGATATCCTTTCAAAGACAAGTCTGCATTAACATTTACTATTCAATTCATGTCCGACCAATATTTTTAGTGAGCAGACGTAATTTGTTTCAAATTATATTCATTCAATACTAATCAAAGAAGAATTTTTGATAATCTTATCATGACTCAAAGGACTACCGTTGGTACTTCTAATACATGTATTTATTGATATCTAAATTTAGGCACCACCAGTTTAACAATGTTCTAACCCCATAAATCGACGAAGAAGATACACATCAACTTTATTAACAAATTTGAGGGAATCGCATGAACTCCAAAAGAACCGAACAAACATGTCGCTTGTTAGTAACAGACACGACAAATTATATCATGGATATATAATGCTCTCATGATTGCATTAGCCTATAATAAGTGCAATACGAACTGTCGTTTTAAGGAATAAATGTTACACAACTATAACAATGTAATATTGAAGTTCAAATAAAAGGTATAGGATATACCTGCCTGTAGATTTATTATAATACTATAAGCTCACCGCTTTCTGATCACAGATTTATTATGCCACTGGATACAATTTCATGTCAAATCCATGTAGAATTATCCTGGTATACATGTTTGTTGGAATGCTAAATTGAGACGCATAGAAACTTCTTTTTAAATCTCCATTTATCAATTCAAATTTAAATAATAACCATGTACAGTTGTATTAGTTACAGCATACCAAAAAGACGAAAATATATCATATCTACAAACCCAGAATCCTTAAATTTATCAACTAAAAATGTACCTGATTAAAAGAGTAAAAGTAATTTATTTCCGTGTTGAATAAGCATGGCCTTTGTACCAAAGGACATGCTAAAGCAAACAACAATTTAAACAAAAAACTATCATTTGTATACCCCACTTTTAGGAATATGTGCTATATATTGCAATCACCTCATCCGGACGTCCGTTCCAATAGCAGGTTGACAAATATGAGTTGTAACGCGTGAGAACGTTTTGAGTAAGACACCTATCTTCTGTTTCCAAGATACATTGAATTATAAGTAGGGATTTTGCTTATCGCGACAATGCTTGTAGCTTCATAATATTTCGTCAGCCATCAGATCATGGGATTATCCGTGGAAACTGTACGTACGTATTGTGATTACTAAGCTGTAGCCATTGCAACATAACATGATAAGCTGTTTGTTTCGAATTACTTAAAAAATCCAAATAAAATATATATGATCTATTATCGGTCTTCCCTCGTCTTAAAATCGATATCATGGATTTGTGATGTCATATGTGTTTAACCTTTAGCATGACCGCTTTTTCATCAGCACCACAATTTTTGACCCAACGCTGATCCGTTTTTTCTTCCAATGTTCTTTGAAAAAAAAATGTTTCGATAATGAAGAAAAAACTAATTAAGTCAAATGAATTGATTACCTGAATTTCCTTATATAGATAATGTCCATAAATGAAGCTTTTTAAGCTTGTTTTCTGATATGTTACAATACACATCGTAAGAAAACCTGTATTTTGGTACAACAACATACCTTTACAGAACGTGGGTTCTTCATCTGACTTATCATTGCACCTTGTCCAGCCATCGCAAAGGTTTTGTTCTGGTATACACTGAATCCCATCCTGGCATTTCACCCTGTTTTTGCCACAGGGTCGCTCTGTAAACAGTTGTGATTTGATAAACATCCATGAAAAATTTAAAGCAAACACCTATCTTGAATATAAATAAGGGAATGTACTGGACATATTGTAAACATCATAATTAACAGGTGTCCTTAAGTGTGACACAGACATACATGTATATTATTCATTCAATGGGCAATGCTTAATTATACCCGTATATGTTCATGAATTCGTCCTCTTTATCTCTCTACGCGCTCGGTTAAGGTCTTTAAAATTGAAGTCTCCACTGCAATTCTCACAAAATGTGCGTGATTAATGGTTATTGAAAAGGTATGAATCTATTGTATAATATAAAAGAAAAATATTTACTATTTTTGAAAAGGCACATTTTTGCATGTTATTTAAAATTATACTTTGTTTTTTCCCCTAATTAGATGCCTAGTTTCTGATAGAAGATATATTTTTGTATATATTTTTGATTTTGTATAGAATGTCCTACTGTACACAGATACTTTATTTCGCGTTTAACCCTTTACGCCCACTCAATTTCGCGATTTTATAAATTTATTTGATGTAGTTAAATAAAAAAAAATCATAGTTTTACATATTCGCGACGATTTATATTCCCGTTATTTTTCTACTCTCGAAAGTTTCGGAAATAAATCTCTCGCGAAATCAGTTGGTTTATAGTAGTTGTCAAAGAACTTGTTTGTAATTAATTGGAATTCAGTTTAGTTTTACGTTTATATTTGTTAATCCTCCGTATTCTTTGTTTTAAATTATTTGTTTTTTTGTTTTTGGATATCACTACAAACCAGTAAAAGTCTGAAATGGCCTATATTTGTACTCGACTGTACTGATTTTTACTCGACCAGTCTGAATTGGTCTGAAATTTACTTGATAATACTCGACTGTAGTCTGAACCATACTGAACAGTCTGAACTTGTACTCGACCAGTACTTAACCATTTTATTTTCGTCTGAACCATGCTCGACCTAGTCTGAACCATGCTCGACCTAGTCTGAACCATACTCGACCTAGTCTGAACCATACTCGACCTAGTCTGAACCATACTTGACTAAGTCTTAACCAACTTAGACCTAATTTTTGTATCTATCTATTGTATTTCATCAATTTAGGATTCCAAACTGTTTTTAACAGCTATTTCCCCTGGCTAGAAATTTGAACAACAATTTGAAATTTAAAATGTATTCAATATGGCATTGAAACCAAAATTTCACAATAAACATAATATAAATTCAACACCATATTTGTCAACACTTACATATATATATATCACCTTTAAAATAAAAATAAAACAAGCTGATCAAATAATCTTAAAACTGAATTGTGACTAATATTTTCAATGTTATTCAAATTTTTTTTGAATGTTTCAGATATATTTTATGGTTACTGGACAATTTTCACCATTTACTTAAGTCGTGTATAGATTTATGGTGTCAGTTGAGTCTGGGAACAGTATATCTAATATACATGTTCCTGGTTGAGTGTAGTTAATAATGCAGTGAACATTTTTTTTATTAAAATATATTTAAAATAGTATATAAAGCAACTTAATAAATTTTAAAAATCACACCTTTGTTTTGTAAAACCAAGAATTTAATATAATCATGATAATAGAACTTCCATAGCAATCCTTGATAACCATTTAAAAAAGGAAATGTGTTCCAAAGTTGCAGAAAAAATTTATTTCAATTAAATTTAAATAACTTTTGTCAAAATTAAAGACATGGCATACAAGAAGCACTTTAAATAGGTTTAATTACCTCAGTACATGTGTGTTTTACAGGTAAAAAGAAAGCCCAGTTTTTCTTAAACCCCTGGATTACTTATCTAGTGAATTCAAAAGGCCTTGCGATTTAAGTTTTACAGGATGTTGCAATTTTTAATGAATGCTAATTAGAAATTAATACTCTCTGACCAGGTGTGATCTTTTAAATGAGTTTGCCACAAGCAGGAGGTATTACTTTATACTTTACCACTAATCAGAAGAACAATTTTATCTATTTCTTTAATTTTTTTATCCCTTTTTTGATATATATTATATATAATATATCCCAAATTATAATAAGAATAGATATTTTTCTAATATAAGGTTAAACAATTTCAGAGATTTTTTGGCTGTTGTTGCCTCATTAAAAAGATAATTATATAACTATTGTATGTAACCATGAAACCTATATAGTTTTTCTTTAGGAATTTAGGAAAATTAAGTTTAAAAAAAACAAAAAAACACATGCCAAACAAGAAGCACCTTAATAAGGTTTCATTACCCTCAGTAAAGGTGTGGTTTTTAGTTAAAAGAAAATCTTTTTTTTAACAAAACTCTAAAACTTTAAAATTAATATAATTAAATTATTATATAAGATAATTTAATTTAACTATCTCTATTTGATAAATCTGAGAACCATGTAAGGATGTAAAAATATGTTTTTATATATATCTTTATTTTAAATTTATTGTGGCTGTTGTCATGTCAGAAAAAAAGAAATTAATTTTAACAACTGAAATTAGAAAAAAAGTATAGGTTTTTTGGTCAAGTATGGTTCAGACTGGTCGAGTATTGTTCAGACCTTTGGTCGAGTATGGTTTAGACTGAAAAAATTGGTCGAGTACAGGTCGAGAATGGGTTAAGACTGTTTCAGACTGGTCGAGTAATAGTTCAGACTATTTTCAATGGCAAAGATAAGGGTCAAGTACAAATCAGTACGGTCGAGTATGGTTAAGACTGGGGTCGAGTAATGTCGAGTAAAATTCAGACCAATTCAGACTGGTCGAGTAAAAATCAGTACAGTCGAGTACAGAAATAGGCCATTTCAGACTTTTACTGGTTTGTAGTGTATGTACATATAACATTCAAACCTTTGCAGGTTTGAAGACTTTCGTCAGATCCATCCGCACAATCTACATAACCGTTACATAGACCTTTTTCTTCAATACACTGTAGACCATTGTGGCATTTGACTTCAGATGGTTTACATGGAATAGCTGAAATTTCACATCAAATAATAAATAAGGTTCAGCCAAATCGTTATAACCATCACAACAAAGTGTTTCTTTAATTTAATTGACGATTGTGACATTTGACTCAAAAATAAAACTGAAATGCAAGCCTTGTTTTGTTATCAATATGTCGTATTTCTATATGGTTTTACAACCAAGCCGTTGCGCAACGACCAGGTCCTCTATGTAACAAACACTTGACAAAGAACTTGTAACAGTATATATTTAATGTATGACACGATGTTAATGAACACAAAATTAAGCATTTATTTACCTTTACATATGCTTTCAATTTCATCTTCTTCATTTTTACAATCTCCATAACCATCACAAAACATCCACGGAGAGATACAGTTTGATTCATCGCTACACATCACACAGTCATCATTACCATCTTTTTAATCACATAAACGAGAATTTGAAACAATAATTAAACTTTTTAACATAAAGTGCCAATATAAACCGAAAAAAAATCTCTTGTCAATATCCCATATACATGCCTGCATGAATAGCAGAAAAATAAAATTCTGTCGAAATAAAAAAAATCACAGATACAATAATGTAATTATGGGAACGGAAGTATGTGGCGTATTTATTTATGACACACAATCTATTAATGCAAAAGACATAACCAAAATCAAAAGGAAAAACGCTTTTATTCCATTTCTTCATCAAATTCACAATAAGCCATTCAACATGAAACAAACGCCCACACTCTCTGCTAGATCAAGGCGGTCCATGTTAAAAACGATAACGTAACCATGTTTCAGACATTCTTCAGGTGTCAGACCACCAATTCAAAATCTCTATCTATTCAAACGAATTTTGCAATTTTCACAGCTTTCTAAATATTTTACCATAAATTTAACTTCTTAAAAACCAGGTATATCCTGAATTGTACATGTATCACCTTTCTACATGCCAATTTTCAACCAATGTTTAAAGTCTTGTAGTGACACTCTACCGTTCGGTAGTCAAGTACTATTACTTAGAATAACCCCTGGTTTTCTGGAAATCTTCAATAAGTGTACTAGGAAGCGTATTAATCCTCAATTTTTTATGCAAACTCATTGACAAGTAAATTTTGGCTCAAAATGGTCTACATATATTTCTATTTCACCAAAAATTTCATTTCTGCAAATTTGTTTGTTAGTTTAGGTAAACAATGACATCAAAAGCACTATGTTTTGTCAGTAAAGGGTTATTTTACATATATGTTCTAAATTGAAAAGTTGGTGAATTGGTGGTATGACATCTTCTGTTAGGAAAAAAGCCACACATGGTTACATTACCGCAGCTAAGCCTCTAGCACTGGTTTAAGCGGCATCCTGCGCTAGATATCGACCATGTTACATCTGTGCATTGAAGAACATAGCTTTGGGCCGGGATAATATCAACAAATTATAAAATACATCGGGTCAAGAAATCTAGCAAAACTGTCATAAATTGTCGGACAATCTCACTGCAAAGAAATTTTACCCAAATAATTATATATTAACCATAACTGTCAATTTATATGAGCGCACACTTCAAACCTATGTTACTTAAAGTTGATTTCCAGTACAGGATCCCTCTTCACTAGATTCCTAATTTAATTCAAAAATGGAGACAGCACGTTATAAATGTCATGCGTCCGAAAGTTTTTCTGGATTTACCTTCAAGCCAAATATTTGAAAAACCAAGGATGTATAAGAGAGGCGAAAGATACCAAAGGAACATTCAAACTCACAAGTTGAAAACAAACTGACAACGCCATGGCTAAAATAGAAAAATACAAACAGACAAACAATAGTACACAAAACACAACATAGAAAACTAAAGACTGAGCAACACGAACCCCACTAAAAATGAGGGTGATCTCATGTGCTCCGGAAGGGTAAACGGATCCTGCTCCACATGTGGCACCTGTCGTGTTGCTCATGTTAGTACAAACCCGGTAATAAGTCAATTCGGTAGGTCACATTCTTGGAAAAGGGAACGGGATTGTAGTTACGACATTTGGAACATATCCGCTATCATCTGTGAAACGGATATTCGATAACGGCCAACCAACTCGTGATGGCGTCCATAAAATTTACGACTGGAGGATTTCAGCTTCACCACTTGGAACTCTTGGTTTAATAGCTTCCTTGTGAGCAGCAACCTTATATCAAGGAAGTCATGTTAGGAAATACAAGCCCTGGAATATCGTATCAACAGGCAGATATATACTCCGTATGCAGGCGCTGCTGAAATGTTGCTACATAGAAATTGAAAATTCACAATTGGAAAGCTGAAATCATCTCTTTTGTCGTAAAGTTTTGTTTTCAACCGACCCTCACTGTCAATTTCTAGATGTAAGTCAAGATATGAGAAAGACTTAACTGTATCTGTTGTATCCTTTATCTCAAGTTCGATGGGATAGATGCATTCAACATAGTCACAAAATTTTTAATTATTTAGTGAGAAAACCTCATTTATATACGGAAAATAGAGTTAAAGGATACTGCTAATTTCCTGTTCCTGTATGAAATCAGCCTCATATCAGTAAAGGAACAAGTCGGCAAGAAGAGGGGCATAGTTGGTTTCCATGGGAATGCCGATTGTTTGTTGAAAAACACGTCTTTCAAACATAACATATATGTTGTCAATCAAAAAATCAAGCATATTGATAATGTCAGTTTCAGAGATTTTTTTGTTTGAATCAGAGTAATTTTTTACAAAGTAGGATTTCAGAAGAGCCGAAACAGTTGAAGAGCTATATAACCAGAAAGGAGCAAAAAAATAATAAATAGCAAAATCCATCTAAGGTCAACTTTGCCTGAGGGAGTTGAAACCGTAGTTTCTTATTTGTAATACTTAAATTATTCCCATGCCTTCCGGATAATTTTGCCCTATGATTTGTCCGAGGCTTTTAGTTTTGGCAATGTTGCTTTTTTTTGCTATATATATAGCCTTGGAACATCAAGGAAAGTTACAAAAACAGAGTAATAAATTAAACAAAATAGGATTCTTGAAAAACCTGTCAGGCACGCCAGTGCCAAATTTACAGGCCTATACAAAATAACAAAAACTGTCTAAGTGAACTTTGCCTCAGTAGTAGTCATCTTACCTTTTTTTAAATTACATAATTTTATGAACACCTAATTGCGTCACACTATATCGTGCAAGTCCTGCCAATACCAAAACTCATATTTTATTTTACGATTATATCATTACATGGTTGCTGTTTAAAAGATGCCAATAAACCATCTCTATTACTAAAGTAAAAGTCATCACTTCAAACACTTGACCGTCGCCATCAAATGTGACATTTTATTAAACACGTTATTTCATTATTATCTACGACTGCTGTTAAGGTCAAATAAAACGATGAATTGACTGTTTTAAGCATGATGTGTTTCATTAAATGAATTTTTATTTCACCCTTCCCACTGAATAAATTATGGAAACAATTCACAGCTCTGTATGTAATATACAAGCTAATTGTATCATGTGAATGTGTCACTTTAACTACAAACTGCGTACGCTAAGTGTAATAATCGTTTTCTTATTGAATATATAGTATGCGTTTATCGTATTTATACAAAGCAGCTGATCATGTGAACATTGAACGTATATTTACTTATTGTAAAATGTTAAAATACCTCCTCTTTTGCTTAGTAATGAAACTGCTGTTATCAAACTTATAGTTCCCAGAAATACTATGATGATCTTCATTATATCTGAAATTTCATTAAATGCAAATTGTTTGTACAGATTATTACATACAATGATTGTATATTTTTGATATATATCAATATTTCAGATCCTCAGGTATTCAGGTATATGTACATCCTTTACTTTCACTTGTTTTGTTTGATCGGTTTGAGAAAGTCAAGTCAAAAGTGCTAAATTGTTTACCCAGATAATTATATTAAAGAATTTCTAAAAATCTGCTAACTTTAAAGAACACTTTAAACCTAGGTCTTTCCTTTGATAATACCATGCTTTTGGTTTTATCTCCATTTACCTCCAACAATTCAACATAACTATGCTTCAACGTGTAAGATATTGAGATATTAAGACTTAATCCACTATATCAAGAAATGGGTTTCTTTAACCATTTTCTTGCTTGTATTTATTGTATGTAAAGCTTGCAGTAATTTAAGGGTGGGTGCATTGCATAAAGTGATATCTATGTTAAAAATATATCATCTTGTAAAAAAAAAAAACTTAATTGAGGTTACCTCTATTTCTATCACTTATTTATACTTTTTCTTTTTTATTTTCAGGCTTAAAATATGTGTCTCATATTAATAACGAAATCATAATCTGTTGTCTAATTGTGAGATATAACTGTTGTTATTTGCTGATTTTTTTTACTTAATTTTGCCTGTTTTGGAAGACAACATTTTTAACTGTCGCCTAATAGATTTGAAATATCGAACACTTTTCATTCAAATCATATCACGTTGATGGAAAATGAAGTTTTTGAAGGTCAAGGAACAGTGAATGGGCTATGTCACAGATTTTGGTAAAATTTTGCATACAGCTTTAGCTCGTTGAACTATAACTGAAAATCAAAAAAAATAATGCATTTATCTATGCATTTATCTATTTCATTTACTGAAATATGAGTGATTGAATTCTTTCAAAAAAGGTGAACATTTGTATAGAAAGCACAAAAAAAATCAGCAAAAACGGTCTTAAATTTGTCTTAAAATCATCAAATCTCCAATTTCTAATACATAGATTTCTTAAAAACTATATGTTGTTGCTACATCAATTTTCGTTTTGATGATATAAAATTATCATATGGTTACCGACTATGTTTTTTTACCTAGTTGGTAGCTAAAAACGTCAAAAATCGACATTTTACGGCCTACAACGCGACGACGTTACGATAATTTCGACGTTTTGTCGTATTTTTTTTACATAGAACACCACTTTGATTGATATATACCGTTATTATAAATTTTACATCATCAAAATGGAAATTTATATACCAACAACAAATAGGTTTTTTACGAAAAATCTATGTATTTGAAATTGGAGATTTGATGATTTAAAGACGAATTTAAGAATGTTTTTCGACGATTTTATGTGCTTTCTATACAAATGTTCACCCATTTTTGAAAGAATTCAATCAGTAAAATTTCATAAAATAAAAGGGACAGATGAATTATTTTTTCGATTTTCAGTTAAAGTTCAACGAGCCAAAGTTGTATGCAAAATTTTAACAAATTCTGTGACATTACCCATTTACTGTACCTTGAACTTTATGTTCACATGCTACTAAACATTACAAAATTTATGTTAAATATTTGTTGACAAAAACAAGGAGGCCCCTGAAAATGATTAAGAATGCCACAGGCTACGGGGTCATATAGTTCGGAGACCAACATATATTTTGTTTATTTCAAGTTAGGTTTCTATCATGAAATTAATAAGCTTGATTACGAAAACATGTATAATTGTCGTCTATAAGGCAATCATTTTTTTATCTACGTCATCTTTGAAATTGTATTTTGGTCTTATATATTATGTTTTCAATTTTATACGCTTAATATTTCAGACATATGATTTTTAAATATCTATGTTAGATATATATTTATTTTGATGCACTTAATATCACTTGGATTTAGAATAGTAGAAACATCAATACTTTTACACCTTTAATTTCGTGTGAAAAAAACCTTTCATCTAAATTATAATAACAATAAGTGTACCAATTTTACTGCACCAAATGCGCATTTTGACAATTAATGACTCTTCGTTGATGCTCGGGACCAAAATATCAAACATTGAAAACATAATGCTGTTAAAAACAAAAAGATCAAAAGTAAAGCCAAACTCCGACAAGGCATCAGAGATATGCATGATGGAGATACATTCCTTAATTTAAAAAGATTTTGAAATTTTATAACATCAAATTTATATTAAACAAACTCCGATAAACTGGCTACTTCTACTGGGCTAATGCTACCCTCGGGATCTAACAGTCCACCAGCAGAGGTATCGACCCAGTGGTAGTAAATTCTTTTAAAAGCTACTATTGAAAATACATTTTCACACAAAGCGTTTACTTTAAATGATCAAATGATACTTACAATAAAAGTAACTTCTAATTCGGTATGGCAGTTTGTGATTTCTGGAAATTGAAAACAGTGTAACGAATATGGATAAGGATAATTTACTACAATAATTGAAAGTATTGACATTTACTGTTGGTTCATAAAGAGGTCAGATTTTTAATGGTATGTATATATTTTCGCGAAGTAAAATTTCTATAGGCTATTTTGCAATTAGAGAGAATCTGTTGTCAAAACGAAGGAATACCCATTTGCAAATAAATGATAATTGTGCCTCACGGCAATGTGGTTGGCAAAGAGGCATTCAGCATAACTTGAATAGCATATATAATCAAGAGACTCCGACGATATCGTGTCTGATCGTACCAAAATTACTACCGTAATTTTGTAAAGGATTCTGATAGTCCTGGAATATATAAGTATTTTCTTAAAAACCACATTTATTGTTATCATATTCAGATATTTGTCAATAATTCTTATAGCGACATACGATAGAGTTCAGGGTTTTTAAATGAATTCTAATTTCAAATACTATTCTTTGATTGATTGATTGTTGTTTCTTAAACTCAAGTGGCATATATCTTATGCATATAAAGGAAAGGACTATGGCGGGGAAATTTTTGCGATGTTTTTATAAATTCGAAAAATGCAACAGTATCAAGTTCGCAATAATGAAAAGACGCATTCATAATTTCAGCAATAATTTTCCGTCATAAATATTTTGCCATCTCATTAGTTTGATTTCTCATTTTTGACAAAGGACAAGGATTCGCATCATAAATGCACGCATTAATTTGTGACTTTACAGTATTTGAAAGAGATTAGCAATAGAAATAAATGCCTCTCTGCAATCATTTCATAATTAGTATACAAATAAGGAGATGTGGTATGATTGCCAACGAGAAAAATCTCCACCAAAGATTAAATTAAGTGGATGTATGCAATTATTGGCAACCGTACGGGCTTCAACAATGAGAAAACCCATACCGTATTGTCGGCTATAAAAGGCGCCGACATGAAAAATATGAAACAATTAAAATGAGAAAAACTAACGACCTAATTTATAACAGAACAATTTACAAAAAAGAAATATGATAGACGTCAACCAACGACAACCACTGAACTACAGGCTCCTGACTTGGGACAGGCACATAAAGAATGTGGCGGGGTTAAACATGTTTGTGAGCGCACAACCCTCCTCTAACCTGGGACAGTGGTGAAACAGTACAACATAAGAACAAACTATAAAAATCAGTTGATAAAGGCTTAACTCATTAGATCGATACAAAGAAAAACATCAAACAAAAACACAGACAGGACGTGGCAGGGTATATATCTATCCCTCATCCCTAACAACAAAAAAGACACTAAGTACAGATCTGAGAGTACTCGCAGTTACTGACAGCTAGTTCAAAGCCAATAACAACTAATAAAAACAATCATGTATCTAAGACTAAAATATTAATCAGTACAAATTGAACATCCAATGGATTTAGTGTAAAGGCGTCAGAGAAATACATGACCTTGTGCAATGCCAAAATATAGGAATCGACAGATTGTAGTACCGTGAAAGTACATATGTGTAATATTTAGTATGGTTTTAATTTACTGATAACAAAATCAATATTTATACCAATAAAAACAATATTCAAAGATTTAATTACAGTGTTGAATAGGTAACCTTTTAGAATAAGTTTATTTAAAGGAGTTATAAGTTTACCTGGATCGTATCTAAATTTCCGACCTCGGTTAACAACATCATCGTAAAATTTAGGATGTGTTATTCCGTTTCAAATAAGTTTTCTACGTGTACAGTCAAACGTGCAAACAAAATCTTTTGTATCTATTGAAGAATTTAGTAAAGGTTTTAAGAAATTTGTGGTAACGGAATCCCTGACTTAATAGCTTACCAGTAGTACATAGATTACGCTCATTGAAATCCAAAACGTCACTACAGACACGGCATAACAACGAGTTGAGATATATAAACACCGTAAGATGGTGCCAGAGGGACGTCACCGTCCAAAAAAGGAAAATTAACAATAGGGAAAGAAAAAATCATCCCTTTTTGTGTATAGTTTCTGGTGTAAAACTATTATTTCAGAATAAGATAACCACGTCTTCAGATGTCATTGTGACTTCTAATCTTTTATTGTGCTGAAAGAATAAATACTTTTTTTAACGTTTTTGGTTAATCATAAAACATATGCATCTCGATTTACTTCGGGATTTATAAGTCTTATTTTTACAGCATTTTCAACTATTTTCCATTTTGATTGTTTATTTCATTTACCGCTTTTTTCCGAACAAATACATCGTAAAATTTAGGATGTGTTATTCCGTTTCAAATAAGTTTTCTACGTGTACAGTCAAACGTGCAAACAAAATCTTTTGTATCTATTGACTCTACAATCCCATATACATTGTTCATGTATTTGTTTTTTATGTATGAAAATATAAAATGGTTCGCATCTGAAATGAAAAGTATAGGTCTGGCACTTTGATAATTTTAAGAATCGTTATGGAATAAAATTATGCTATCATGGTCTTACAATCACATCAAATATAATGACGTAGAGTTAAGCGTCCAATGGAAAAAGAATCTAAAATTCAACCAAATGGATGTTTGCTCCTAAAACTATATGTATTTGCCCTGCAGCTCCTTCATTTCTAAAAAGTTTTTGTTCAAGCTTACATCTGAACTACAATTTCGGTAAATCATTTAAGCACTTATTATTTCAATCATATTTTTCATACATTTAACATTTATATCTTCACATACAATTCGTATCAAATATCCAAAGACGTTTTTCCCTGACAAAAATTACTGTGGATACATAATAATTTTTGGGATTCCAATTTCCGTGAATTTCGTAGTCATAGGTGAACCACAAATTTAAATATCCAACAAAGTACCTTTTTTGTAATTAGCCTATCACAAAAAACTGGGATAAAGGTATTGAATATCCTTTTGGTGCATCGCAATTTTCTAAATTTTTTAACCTGCGAGGAATCTTTTAGTTTATCAATAGTGTGTTCTTACCGCTATTTTGTTATTTCCGAAATTCGTCTTTTCGTTAAGAATCTTAATCTAAAACAGATTGAGCCATGAAAGAAACCCATATGTATAAAACTTGATTCAAGTCTCCAATCAAAGGTCATAATTCCACTAAAAGGGGCGTTAGTTTAGCTTTTTGAAATGGATAAATATGCAGTCACTTTCGGTTAGAAGGGGAACGTTAAATATAATGCCTCGTGTAGGAAAAATTGAACGCTCTCTATAAGTAAACGAACCTTTTAAACGACTCTTTGAAGTATCAAAATTAATGCCTCATGTAAGAAAAATGGAACGCTCTCTGAAAGTAAACGAACCTTTTAATTATCTTTTTGAGGTATCAAAATTAAAGCCCCTATATATTCAATATGCAATCAAGTTGGAGCTTCAAGTTAAGGACACATCAATTAATCAATGAATTAACAGGGTTATTAGTATTTTATATTGCCTACCAACTGTTTTGATTCGAACGCCACTAATGAATCCTATGTAAACGACGCGCGTCTGCCGTGCCAAGTTATAAGCATGGTATTTTTGATGATTTATAATTACATGCACTGTTACTGACATAACAGATGACTTCGGACAAACATTAATAAGGTGTTCGTTGGCGCCATCGATCATTTGCGTACGCAGTTTTCGCTTTTTCCGTGGGTGTAACCCAGCTGCCTTCTTTACAAAATTAGATTATAACTTTGAGCAATTAGATAAAGATATATATATGGAGCACTTTCCGTTTTTCTAATAACCAAAATATAAGTTTAACTATTAGACGACTTGAATGAATTGCAATTCAGGTAGCATTTTTTTTTAACTTTAGATCTTTCACTTTACTATCCATAGGAAACATGACTACTCTAGGCTGTACAAGTAATCATGTTAAATATATTTCAGAACAGGAATTATACATCACAGAAGCATGTGTCTTGTATGGGTTGAAAAAGATGAACACATTATAACATTTTTTGGTAAACAATGAATAACCTCTATCATTTTAAGCATTATTCTATGTTCAATCGGTTGCACCCATATAACTAATATCACATAATTGAGATTGTCATTAGAGTAATTTACATACTTATTCAGTTATTTAATTCCATTATTACATGTAATTCACGAAAATATGTGTTACTAATGACACAAACTCATGTTCACCGATCATACCAGTATAACATTTTATTTTTAACATACTAAAACGTATGTCTAAATTACAAAAAGTCCAAAAGAAAAAGAACAGTGCATGGACTCATTGTAATGCATCAACAATTCGTTTGAACTTTAGACTTGACGCCATCTATTTATCCATCGATATGACCTCCAAAGATTGCCGATGGTCATGTAACCCGATATAAACACAACATAAATATGAATAGAGAGACACGCACGTGCTATCGTATATTATCGATTTTTCTAGGTCTGTTTGATTAATGGTTTAGATAAAAAAATATATATATATAAATCTTCGTTTTACCTGTATAAGAATGATTTTTGTGGACCGGGTCAATGACTTTCTGGTGGCTCCGTTGTTTCACATTTTAGTAATGAAATGAACACGCTGACCTCATGCTACACTAAAGTTCAAAGTATAGGTTGCATGAATACAAATTCAAATGAGGTTGGATTATTGACTTGCAAGCCAATAATACATTAGCGATGGGTTTTTGTTTTACCTTTTTATGACGAAATTGAACCAACTTGACTGCTTATAGAGAAATGCTATTTATATAGTCCACCTTTATAAATATATGAAAGGAAAACAAAATCATATTTTATTTTTTTGTTTTTAATTCGTAGCTTATGCAACTCTAAAAGACTTCATATTTTTGATATTTATCAATGATATCATATCTGATATACAGTCCACTATTAAGTTGACTGCTGATGATACAAGTTTATATTTGATAGTAGATGACCCCCGAGAATCGGCAAACAACTTGAATAGTGATCTTGCAAAAATCCATAGATGGTCTTCAGATTGGCTAGTGAC